CTAGCCTCCTGTACAATAGCCTAATGTACAATCTACTAGCCTCCTGTACAATCTACTAGCCTCCTGTACCATCTACTGTAAACACATAGTCTTTCATAATTAATAATGCCCCTAACACAATCTACCTTTATACCCGGCAGAGTGTAGACACGTGGTCATTTGTGATCTACAACATCTACTACCCGATCGTATTGCTGATGTTGCTGCTGAACTGCTTCGCGGACGCGCGACCCAAGCACCTCGACTACCCCAGGGGCGAGGTCTGTCTTGTGCTGCTATTGTTGGCCTTCAAGGCTATGTGTTATTGTGCCAGTATTTAGGCTGTTTGTGCCATTATTTAGGCTGTTTGTGCCAATATTTAGGCTGTTTGGCCATTATTTAGGCTGTTTGTGCCATTATTTAGGCTGCTAGAAATGAAAGTATAATTATATTCCCACATTCCCTTGATTTTAAACGTACTACCCCGTAAAAATGTTACTATAAAATATATATATTACAGGACAACATGCGAATGGGGTTTCGAGATGACGATTTCAATCAGTAAATAGTTCATTATGAAAGTATAATTATATTCTCCCATTCCCTTGACATATAACATGCCCCGTACCCCGCAGCGTGCGTGCCCCGAGCCCGACGCGTCGTTCCTGAACCGCATCACGTTCGCGTGGCTGGACCCGCTCGTGTGGCGGGGCTTCCGACGCGACCTCGAGACCAAAGATCTTTGGGACCTGTCCCAGGAGAACGCGTCCTGCACCGTCGTCGGCGACTGGGACAAGAACTGGGCCAAGTCCTGTCTCTTATACACATCTAGATGTGTATAAGAGACAGGCACTAACCTNCACTTTTATCGTCAGTTACCGAATTTTCATATTTCTGCCGCCTGATCTAGGGATTTACCTACAATGTCTGTCCTTAAGGCCCAGCGGTGAGTGGGCCCAGTCTAGCCTTAAGGCCCAGGGATGAGTGGGCCTTATTATGTCAATTAGTGGGCGTTATTATGTCAATTATGTCAATTAATTATTATGTCAATTAATTAATTGTTTTTAACGTGCACATTTCTTTTTCCCCACGCTGCCATACAGGAAGTTCTGGAAGCATTTTGGGTAAGGTATTAACTGCCACCTTAATGCCCTCTCGAAAATAAATGTCATATTGCCTATACATAATAACGTGTTTGTGCCGAGAGAAACTGGGTCAAAATGAATTACAGTTAGGCCAGACTTGCATCTCTATTTCGACAATGTCTCCCTCATTTATTTGAGCGTTTAATCTCAGAGTGATAGCTGTAATTGTCTGCAGGGCGAGACATTTACATGCAGACGATATAAAAGTATTATTATTATTGCAAACCAGGACCATTATTCTGGTAGTGTTAGGCCGGGTTTACAACTTACATTACATTACAGTATTTTCAATGCCATTACATATACATTAACAGGGCACCTGTCATGGGCATGGTAGGTGCTTTGCACGGCAGGTGTGAATGCTTTTACATAAATATGTTAAATAATGTTGGACTGGACCGTGACTGGCTGTATATTGTAAACACAGACTTATTGTGTTACTGCATGTTATTGTTGCTGCCATGTGCAGGGCAGTTAGAAGCCATTAGTCATCATGGGACGTTGGTCGTGTGAAATTTTCTAGCTTTCATTCCAATGATAAATTGGATAAGTAACCTCAACGTATTTTTCGTGTCATGTTTTAATGTGAAGAATTGGACCAGCCAGTTTCAAGGTTCAAAGAAAATTTTAACCAACATTTAAATTTGCTGTTTCTGCTTTACCCAATCTCAATCCTGGACTCGAAAGAATGACATTGAATTTCAAAAAAATCACATGGATTACCACCTGATAAAGATGTTAACCGCTGTATCATTGTGTAAATCAGTGAGATTACTGTATTGAGCGTCATTACTAACCGTGTTAATCGGGTACTGAATGAAGGCTAGGTACTTTAACGAAGATGCCCGTGTGCAGTCAGGGCGCTAGCGTGATTACTCATCGTATGAAGTAGCCTGGTTTCACACCGAATTATTTAGTGTCATTAATCCCCGTATTAATTAGCGTCATTACTCGATGTATTAATTAGCGTCCTTATTCACCGTATTAATTGGCGTCATTACTCACCGTATTGATCCTTCAAGAACTATATTAATTAAGATGCACATGCGCAGGAAAGGATCTAGCGCGACATGCGACAAGACCACCGACCGCGTCTCTGTGACGGTTGTGTTAGGAAGGAGCGAGCATCATTACTAACCGTATTAATTCTTGAAACATATATTAATTAATATGCATATTATACTAGCCGTACTAATTCTTTAACAAGTATATTAATTTATTAGTTAATATGAGCAGGAAAGTAGCTAGCGCGACATACGACAAGACCACCGACCGCGTCTAGGAAGGAGCGAGAATCATTACTAACCGTATTAATTCTTTAGGAACTATGTTAATTAATATGCATATGCGCAGGTAATTCTTTAACAAATATATTAATTAATATGCGCAGGAAATTATTCAAAAAATATATTAATATGCGCAGGAAAGGAGCTAGTGCGACAAGCGCGACAAGACAACCGACCGCGTCTCGGTGACAGTTGTGTTAGGAAGGAGCGAGCATCATTACTAACCGTATTAATTCATTAAGAACTATGTTAATTAATATGCATATGCGCAGGTAATTATGTAACAAATATATTAATATGCGCAGGAAAGGAGCTAGTGCGACCCGTGCGACATACGACAAGACCACCGACCGCGTCTCTGTGACGGGCAGCGCGGGGGACGGCAAGCCCTACGTGTCCGTGCTGCCCACCATGGTCAGGACCTTCGGCAAGGAGTTCCTGGCCGGCTCTGCCCTCAAGCTTATCTATGATATCCTTCAGTTCGTCAGTCCTCAGATCCTGAAGTGAGTCAGGCCTCAGATCCTGAAGTGAGTCAGGCCTCAGATCCTGAAGTGAGTCAGGCCTCAGATCCTGAAGTGAGTCAGGTCTCAGATCCTGAAGTGAGTCAGGTCTCAGATTCTGAAGTGAGTCTGGTCTCAGATGCTGAAGTGAGTCAGGTCTCAGATCCTGAAGTGAGTCAGGCCTCAGGTCCTGAAGTGAGTCAGGGAGTCGGGCCTCAGGGTCTATACTTTCAAAAAAAGTTAAGAAATCGTAAGTTCATCAGCCAATCATTGACGGCCTTTCAAGCAAAATCCACCAATCATAGACAAGAAAATAGAGCGTAAGTACTTACGTTCACTTAGCAAGTTTTGAAGGTATGGCCCCTGATCTATTAACGCGTAAGTGAGGCAAGTGAGACCTGCGTCACGTACCAACATACGTGTACATTTGTTGGCATGTTCAGTCAAGAGGCGGTCTGATGTAGCCAGCAGTCACATCACCACAGTGATGAATTTTCTGGCGCTTCTGCTGGGTAAGCTTAAATCTTCATTCTGAAAGGAATTAAAATTAGAATTGAAATTAAACTAGAATTGAGATTAAACTAGAATTGAGATTAAAGTAGAATTGAGATTAAAATGTGGATTGTGATTAAATTATATCTGAGGACTGCACATAGATGTGAGATCTAACCGTGTAATTGCTACTCGTACAGCTGGCTGATAACCTTCACGGAGCCGGAGAACAACGTAGATGTGAGATTATAAAGATGTAATTACTACTCCTAACCGTGTAATTACTACTCGTACAGCTGGCTGATAAACTTCACGGAGCCTGAGAACAACGTAGAGGAGTGGAAGGGCTACTTCTACGCGGTGCTCATGTTCGTGTGCGCTCAGGTGGCCTCCTTCATCCTGGGCCAATACTTCATGCGCACCTTCCTGGTGGGGCTTAAGATACGCACAGGCGTCATCTCTGCTGTGTACAAGAAGGTGATTATATGTTATTACCTTCTTATTATATACTTCATGCGCACCTTCCTGGTGGGGCTTAAGANTTACTACTCGTACAGCTGGCTGATAAACTTCACGGAGCCTGAGAACAACGTAGAGGAGTGGAAGGGCTACTTCTACGCGGTGCTCATGTTCGTGTGCGCTCAGGTGGCCTCCTTCATCCTGGGCCAATACTTCATGCGCACCTTCCTGGTGGGGCTTAAGATACGCACAGGCGTCATCTCTGCTGTGTACAAGAAGGTGATTATATGTTATTACCTTCTTATTATATACTTCATGCGCACCTTCCTGGTGGGGCTTAAGATACGCACAGGCGTCATCTCTGCCGTGTACAAGAAGGTGATTATGCTTATGTTTATGTGATCCAACATGTCCAGGGAACAAACTATTTTGCATCTTAAGAAAAAAAAACAATTATTTTCATATTCATCAAAATCAAATGTCAATCCTAGACATTTGACAACTCCAATCCTTTCATATTCTCCCCTTGAGAATGAAATTTCAGTTGTATTTAGAATAACGACAATAACGGAGTATCCTATACATAGGAATGAGTCCCCATATATGTTATTAGTACCTTCTTATTACCTACCATGAGCGACGTCATTACCTTCTTATCATATACCATGTGCCACGTCATTACTTTCTTATTATCTACCGTGTGCCACGTCATTACCTTCTTATTACCTACCATGTGCCACGTCATTACTTTCTTATTATCTACCGTGTGCCACGTCATTACCTTCTTATTATCTATCGTGTGCCACGTCATTACCTTCTTATTATCTACCGTGTGCCACGTCATTACCTTCTTATTATCTACCGTGTGCCACGTCATTACCTTCTTATCAT